TAGGCAAAACAAGAAGACTACAATTTATGTTAAGGATACTAAAAAGAATATACCACTAAGTTCTTAGCAGGGTTGTGACACTTAACCTCAAGAAGATAGTGGGAAGCTTCACAACATGTAAATGGCGACAAAAGAAAAGGAAGGACGAACCAAACACTACGAACCTTGAGACCATACTTTGCCAAGCTAGTCACTTAGTCCTAGAAGATTGGCATTGGATCCGCGACCACTCAAATCCTCCATACACATAGAAGAAAACCACAGCACAAAACCAAGACCAACGACGCAAATCTTAGCAACAACAACCTAAAGCAACATCATCACAAACATGCTAACCATCACTCAACAAAGCCGCATAGCTTGAGCCCCATTTATTGATAGAGGCGAAAGGATAAAGAGGGTCCCTCTCGCAATGGCGGTAAGGTCTGATCACTAGAGAGAGAGATCGAATGAGGGGGCAGTTTGTCTCTAGGGTTTGTGCTTGGGAGAAAAAATCGCCTTGCAAAGACTTTTAACTTTCATATTGTTGTCCATTTTTTTTTAATAATGTTAATGCAAAGTGCAACAGATTTATCTAATACAATAGATTTTTAGGATTTATAAATTTGACTAGTGATTATTCTTATGAATTAACATCACTATTGAAGCTCTTCTCTCTACCTAATCATAATGCTTTTTACAAAAAGAAAAAAAAATCATGATGTTTTTTTCCTAATGATTTAAACCATTTATTTTTTGTTCTGAATGGTTACAATAACAAACAAAACACAATATTTAATTTGTCGAATTTGACCATGAATTTTTGGACGGATAATAATAATCGGTGCATACCAATTTGCTTTAATACAAAAACCTTTGTAATTAGTCTATAACAATTTTTTTTTTATTAACTGCAAACAAAGATTTATGGATACAAATAATTTTATCTACAAACATATTAAAGCATGTTCGTTTTTTCGTTCAGCTATTTTATCTGAATGAAAATGAGAAATAGGGTGCAAATGGTTGACAAGTTAGAGGAATAAAATTGTGTAGAATTGGCTTTTCCATCTATTTCTTCTAAAAATCTACCATTTAAGATAAACTCTTTTCGGGTCGCCCTAGTTTTCTCCCACGCGAGGTTATCGAGGTCGCCGCACGATCAGATCTTCTTCGACTGAGAATTGCCTTTGATTCCAACTAATCTCCGGCGCCACCAAAAAGCTTCTCTCGTGAAGTTGTCTCTGTCACCCTCCCTGTTTTTCCCGGAGAGATCTGCTATCAACCGCCGTTCCCATGTCTCCGACGAAGTTCACTCTCCTTAGTGCGAAGCCTCTATCCTCTGAAGCCATCAAAGCCTCTATCCTCTGAAGCCATCAAAGCCTTGACGAAACTCTCCCAACTCATGTATCCGATGAAGAACGTGTTATCAATCGTCTCCTCAGTGTCCGAGCATCCAGATCAACTGAGTGAGCTATTGCCTTGGATACTCTCAATGGAGTTAGCGAAACCTTTGGTGATCCCTCCAGATCCGCTGGACTTTCAAAAACACAACATCCTCTTCGAATCTCGACCACCATCCCTCTCAAATCTGCCTTCTCTTCCGTCGATTTCCATGCCAATCTCGAACACCACTTACTTTTCAGAATCCTCTCTCTTCCTCTCCGAGTGTTGATGGCGAGTCACTTGCCGATGGGTGTAAGATCTCGATGAAGACTCTATCCTGCTCCTCAGCAGTGTCTCCTTTGCCATGAAGAGATGAAATGGGCATGGGCTTCACTTTCGGGGATATGGTTGTCAAAGTTGGCCCAATAAAGAGCTCTGTTTTTGTTGAAGATGCAATTGTTTGTCGATTGTTTTGGACAGCCACAAGGAGATCCACAAGCGAGTTTAACGGTGGCTCTCCAACCCACCGACGCGCTTCCTCCTCCATTGCACTAAGTGTCCATTGCTCTCCATCTCACATACCTTTGATGGCTCAACCGAACCTTCCTCTTCCACCAGAGTCGACGAATCTATCCTCAGCATCGTCGATTTTGTTCACCGTTGGCAAGTTTCACCACCGTCGTTTCATTCCGGTAACTCATATAGATCTGAATGGCACCAGATCATGATGCTCTCCGGATTTCTCTCGAAGGTTAAACGGTCTATTTCTCGATGCTTGCTCCCTCCATCTCCGTCCTCGTATCTCTGCTTCTCACCGCCGTTCTCTGGTTGTTGCCGGAGTTGTCTTCACCGGCGAAGTCCCACTGATGCAAAGCCAGTCCATCATCGATACAACCATTGGCCAAGTACGGTTTTGGCATGTGTTGGGCCTGGCCCATGAGTGTCTCTTGGGTCAGTTCACGTGCCTAGTATTCAATGCCAAGATTTTGGTTGAGCTCGATCTCTTCTCTTTTTGGAGAAGAGCAACGTTTTCTGCAGTCTCAAATCATGATATCTCTTCTATTCAAAGAAGACCAAAGTTTTCTGAATTCTCAAATCCTGTATTTTTTCCCTGTGGGAGAGAACTTGCCCACCATTTCTTCTCTCTTTAAGAGTAAGATCCTTCTCAGAATCAAAATCGAGCATTTTGTATTCTTGTGTAGCGGTCTAAACTGGGCCTAAAGATGCAACTGGAGATATGGGTAGTCTTTACGTCACGGCTCAATGTGACCAAATTTATGCTTTCTGGCTTAGCCGTGAGCTTTATACCGACGCATCGAAAAATTATTTTTGATTCACTGTCGTATAATTATCTTGTTTCTTCTGCTTTAAGTTTTAATGCTTTCATGTATTGGGTATGAACGGATGTAAGATCGAAATTTAAGTTAACGAAAAACAATGTGTTGTAAAAAAAAAAATGATAAACTCTATTCCTCCAAATTTTATTGGGTCCCACCAAAATAGAGGATAATAAGTTTTATTCCTCTAGAATCGTTACTCTCCAAAACATAAAAAAATACAATGGAAAAAACCTAATTCCACTTTTTTCATTTACTTTTTACCACTAATTCTTTCCACTCACTATCATTTGCACCCTTAA